GATGAATGCAGCAGCTGCTCAAACCCTGAGGGTCTGAGGTGCTTTGTCAGCCTGAACTCCAGCACTGGGCAGGGAAGGAGAACTCAGATGATGCCACAGCAGATCTCAGAAACAGCCCAAGGGCTGCACCAACAGAGATTTGCATTTTTTCTTATCAGGACAAGTGGACTAAGGCAGTGTTCAAGCACAAAATCCAAAATAAACTAGGAAAAAGGGTAAAAAAGCTAAAGAAAAGGGTAAAAAAGCTAAAGAAAAAGGGTAAAAGCTAAAGAAAGTTAAACCAGATGACCAGATGGGTCATCTGAACACACTCAGTACAGATGACAGCACAGGTCAGTCAAAATGAGACATCCCTCAAGTCCAGCAAAGCCAGGATGTTCCATGAGGTTAAACAGAGTAATAAAAAAATACAGTAGAGTATAAATAGTAATAAAAATTAAAATAAATAGTCAGGACTGAGCACTCTAAAAATGAAAGGACAAACTGATCTGGGACTTCACTGCCCCAGCTCTGGCAAAAGGCTCCTCAATCCCCACAATTCCAGGGAATTCCTCCTCCAAGGGCAGTGGGTGCAGGGAACAGCACAGGACAGGAATATCCACCCTGCAAACCCCCAGCACTGCTAAAGCTGTCCCAAACTGCAATAACTGCTCTGGACCAGAGTCCAATCAAAATTCAATAATAAAAGGATTACACACAACAAAGATGTTTCACAGGTCAATCCTCTCCCAGACCTCCTTCCACCTCCTACCAAATTCCTGGTGCAGAGATCTAATATAACAAACTGAAAATGGATCTACATCAAAACACAGACAGAAGAAGAAGTTCAAAAGGTTTCATTGCTCACTCTGTTGAGGAAACTCAGAATCTTAATCAATGCAAACATCATTTAAGATGATGTTTTATCTTTTTTTTTTAAATCTGTTAAAAATCAAAAGCACCAATAAATCCAATTTAAGCCATGGAAAAAAAAAAAAAAAAAGGAGGAATATCTTTCTAAATGCATGTCAGCCACTAAACCAGTCCAAAGTTGCCAAAACTCATCCTGTTTGCAGACAGATCAGCAGCATCCTTCCCAGGGGAGGTCTATTTAATCACTCCAGAAATTATTTCTTCCAGACAACAAAGAACCATTAGATTACTTAATTAAAGCCCCTGATTATCTCCAACCCAAAACAAGGGAAGGCAGAATCTAAAATAGGGGAGATTTAAGCAGCTGCCCTGCTCCTCATTACGCTTTGATTTCAATCAAGCACACACACGTCAAGCAAAGGGCAATAAATTACAAACATGTGTTGCAAGAAATGATCTTCACCATATTGCAAGTGGAAATCCCAGGCTGGAACTGAGTGGTGTAAGATATTAAACTTCCATCTGGGAATAATAACCCACTGAACACAAACATAGCAGGGCATTAGCTCCAGGCACTGCTGGGGTTAAAGCTGGCAGCAGGAGATGGAAATGGAACAGTTGTTTTTTTGGGAAAGTGACATGGATTTGGGGAAAACAGATAAATGAGAAATATGCTTGTTGTTTAACACAGAGATGGGAACTGAAACCTGGTGTTATTCCTCTTTAACCCAAATGAAAGAAAGGAAAGGTGGGGAACTCCAGAGACACTAAAACAGGTATTTAAGGCAAATTCAGCGCTGGTTCATGGGCACTGAGGGTTCAGCAGAATTGTTCTTCTCCAGGTACATGGTTTTACTCCATGCAATATTACAAGACTTCCCTGAAGTCATTCAGTAGCCCCTAATCTTCTGAGGACAAAACTGAATTTTTAAGGTGGCTAACCAGCAAATCTGACTGGATTATTCCACACAAATTGTTAAATCCATGAACAGGCTGTTTCCCTCAAAACACCCACCAGAGCAGGTGCCAAGCCCTTGGGAAATGGCAAACACAATGCAGTGACTCACTGGATGTAGGTGGAGACTTACCACACCTGATGAACAGAGAAATCTAAAAAGGAAAGGTGTGTGGGCCAGATGGGAGCGACAGAAGGGAAATCTGAAGAGCTGGGAGAGGCCTGAGATGAGTTCTGTGAGATATCAGCACTTTCTGTGTTAAAGGTAAGGTGGGAGCTGGTCCAGGGGAGGTTTGGAGCACAGTGTGGAGAGCAGAGTGGGATGGAGATGTTCTCAGAAATGTTCTCTGTTTATCTACAGAGGCTGGAATGAGCAGCAGCAGGAGGATTTGGAAGCTCAGGAGTGAAGTGAGGAGGCTCCAGGGAGACCTGACTGGGGCTTTCCAGTGCCTGCAGGAGCTGGAAATACAGAAAGAGGCTTTGGACAAGGGCCTGGAGTGCCAGGACAAGAGGGAATGGCTTCCCACTGCCAGAGGGCAGGGATGGATGGGATTTTGGGCTGGAATTGCTCCCTGGGAGGGTGGGGAGGAACCAGCACAGGGTGTCCAGGGAAGCTGGAGCTGCCCCTGGATCCCTGGAAGTGCTCAAGGCCAGGCTGGACAGGGCTTGGAGCAGCCTGGAACACTGGAAGCTGTCCACAAGGCCACTGCTTGCTCTGAAAAACCCAGCAGAAACTCTCATTTGAGGAAAAACATAAAGCCTGAAGAGCCCAGGAAATTCAAGCAGGCTGGGATCTGGTGTGATTTTGTATTCACTGTTACCTCTCCTCCATAAAACAGCAGCTGTGGTAACAGAGGCAGCTCAGAAACATTCCCTGCCCCACAGAGGGACAGAATTAAGGGGCTGCTGGTGAGGAGCTGACGTGTCAGATTTGAGGCTTCTCCCTCAGCACCGTTCTCACCTGCAGCCACTGCACTTACTCGGTATTTTTTCAGAGAGAATTTGTGAATTCACATTTGTAGTGTGAAGTATCAATTAGCCTGGTGTCCCTGTGAAGGATCTGTGTGAGCAGGCAATCCCAGCAGAGAGAACAGAAATGATGAAAACCTCTGCAGGTCAACTCAAAATGCACATTTTCTGCACACTGCCTACGGACTGACCCCTGCTCCTGGAGGGTGAACCTGGAATTCCACAAAAGAATTCTTTCCACAATGCCACCATTTATTTTTTTAATGCTGCTCAGCCAAACCTAAACCCACCTTGTCCTCTTTTCCTCCTCCACTTTTGGGATCACAACAGGTCCTGGATCCCCTCTGACCATTCCTGTCTGTAAAACTTCCACTGACAACCAGCAGGATGGAATTTGGAACAACCTCACCTTTTCCTTGCACACAACACACGAGGATTGTTATATAAAGGAACCCCACAGGCTGAGCAGGGCTCAGCAGATTCACCCCAGACAGAAAAACCTGCCCTGTGCTTTTCCTTCCAGCAAATTCCAAGCTGTTTAAAGGAGTTTTTGTATCCAGCCATGATTTCATGGTCATCTGAGCAGAGAGGGATTTAAAAAGACAACCTTGGTTCCACAAACCTCCTGATTTTCGTCTCAGGGTATTAAAAATCTTATTGCTCCTGTTCTGTTCTGCATCTGGGGAGAAACTGCAAACCTGGCTTTGCTGAACATGCAAAATTCCTTTCTTCCAGCCAGTTCAGATACCAATAACAACTGTTACTTACAAGAGAGGTTGGAGAGCTATGAAAACAATGCATGAAAAGAAGTAAAAATTTGATACCTGTAACAGAAGTGTGACGTCTAACACATTTGGACAGGCTACATTTACACTGAGCCACAGAATCCAGCAGGAAAAATTCCTTTTAACGTGCTCCTGTCAGCACTGTAACATGATGAACTACATCTAAGGCTGTGTTTTATCTCCCATTTCAGCCAACACCAAGCAGCAATGAAGTTTGTTCACTTTTTTTTCATGGTCTTTAGGCACCTCCCTAAGAAAGTGTCCCAGTAAAGACACAATTACTGGTTTATTTGGATTTGCAGCACTCACTGAGTAGTTTTAGCATCACTTTCCAGCCCAGCTCTGCTTAGGAGCCCACAGAGATTCACCTGATCACATCCCAAGGATTTGGAGGGAAGTGCAGTGCAGGACCAGTACTCACAGAAAAATTCTTCAACTGATAACTCACCCAGACAGCTCCCTACTGCTGCTTTAAAAAATCCTGCTCTACATTTATCTCCCACGTGCTCTTTTAATTCCTTTTACACCTCTTTAATAAAAAGACAGGGCCTGAAAGAAGCCCCCTGCAGCAGAAGGAGCTCGATCCCTGTGCAACTGCTGCGTTTCAGTGTTCAGTTTTGTTTTTCTGGGAGATGTGAGAGTTGCTGCTGCACACTGAGATTTTTTTTTAAGGGTACAGCCCTGAGGGAACGGAAAATCCAGATGATTTAAAGCTGAAGAGATGAAAAAGCAGCCAGGTGACGCCAGGACAGAGACGGCATCAATCTGTTAGAGGAGGTGGGAAAGCAGCTCAGCCAGGTCTGCTCACGTCTGGCAGCGCAAAGCCCAGCGCTGCCTGCCCCAGGGGACAGACACACAGACAGACAGACGGACAGACAGACACACAGACACACAGACAGACGGACAGACAGACGGACAGACACACAGACAGACACACAGACAGACAGACAGACACACGGACAGACAGACACACAAAGACAGACAGACAGACAGACAGACAGACACACAGACAGACACACAGACAGACGGACACACAGACAGACACACAGACACACGGACAGACAGACAGACAGACACACAGACAGACAGACGGACACACGGACAGACAGACACATGGACAGACACACACACACAGACACACGGACAGACAGACACACACACAGACAGACAGACACACACACACAGACACACAAACACACACAGACAGACACACAGACAACACATGGACACACAGACAGACACACAGACAGACAGACACACACACAGACAGACAGACACACACACACACAGACAGACACACACACAGACACACACAGACAGACAGACAGACACACACAGACACACACACACACACACAGACAGACACACACAGACAGACACACAAACACACACAGACAGACAGACAGACAGACAGGGCTCTGAGGGTAGGACTGACATACAAGTCTCTGTACTGGTCGAAGGCATTGTTGGCTTCCACCTCCAGCTTGCGCAGGCGAGCCGAGGGCATGGCACCGTCCTCCAGGGGAGGGTCGTACTTGTTGCTCCAGGGTGACCTGCCAGGGGGACAAGGAAAGGGACAGTCAGAGCAGGGGACACCAGAAACAGACAGACAGACAGACAGAGCCTGCCAGAGGTGTCTGGACACCACTCCCAGGGATGCCCAGGCTGGGATTGTTGTGCAAGGCCTGGATGCTCCTTGGGGGTCTCTTCCAGCTCAGGACATTCCATGGCTTTAATACTGAATATATTCAATATATTTTAATATTGAACCTTTCAGGTCTGATCTCACCCACAGATGCTGAAATCTCATTAAAAAAAAAAGGTGCTCAGAGCAATTTAGCTGTGAAGAACTGCACCCTCCACAGCCATTTCAAACAAAACAAAACAAAAAGGAGACACTGAGCCCTCAAAACTCACCTGGGGACCATCCCCAGGCATCAGGATTTTCTATATAAAAAATATCTCTTGGGTTTCAATCTGTTCCTTCTTACGTGTTCAACAACAAGGCTTCAGCTGTTGAACATGAAATATTTAAAAGTGTTTTCATGCAAATACAAATCGATTGTGTAGTTTATTTGGGATCTGACAGGATCTGAGCCAAACACTGCTGGCTATGATTAAGGTCCACATTTTCCTCCACTATTCTGCTTTGAAATAAACTCTGCATTTAGCACAACGTTAGGGAACCCTTTGAACAGTCTGAAGGATTTAACAGGGTTTGTAAAGCTGCAGGTTTTACTACAATTTCTGCAGGTGTGGAGGAGATTTTTGTGTTCCTAATGAAAGATTTGGTATTAAAAGATTAATGGAACCCTTTGCCCGTCTGCTTGAGGCTTTTATAACTCCCATTCTGGAAAACTGAATTTTGCTTTTCATTTCCCCTTGGAATAACCAACTTACACATATCACAGCTGGCTTGAAGGAAAGCACCTCCACCTTCTCTCTCCCCTTTTCCCCACTCCTCCCAGCCCCTGGCTGCAGCAGCAGCTCCCAGTGCTGGCCACAGGGAAAAGCTTTTTCTCAGCAGCCCTTGGGAATTCATTTCTCACAAAGTCAGGGGTGGCTCTGAGTTTTTTGATGCAAAGCACAAAGCCCAGGCTCTGCTTTGCTTCCTTCACTCCTCCCAGCCACACCTGGCATGAAAAGGGAGAGCAGAAGTGGAGCTGTTGTGTCACAAACAGCCAGGTGATGTTTTCAGCTGGTGGCTCTCATCTCAGGGCTGGCTCCAGTTCTGGGAGCCTCACCACAAGAAGATGGGGCTGGAGAGTGTCCAGGGAAAGGAATGGAGCTGGGGAAGGGTTTGGAGCACCAGGAGAGGCTGAGGGAGCTGGGAAAGGGGCTCAGCCTGGAGAAAAGGAGGCTCAGGGGGAATTTCTGGCTCTGTACAACTCCCTGCCAGGAGGGGACAGCCAGGGGATTGGGATTTCTCCCAGGGAACAGGGACAGGAGGAGAGGGAACGGCCTCAGGCTGGGCCAGGGGAGGCTCAGGGTGGACAGCAGCAGGAATTTGCCCATGGAAAGGGAGCTCAGGCCTTGGAACTGCCCAGGGAGGTTTGGAGTGCCCATCCCTGGAGGAGTCCCTGGACATGGCACTCAGTGCTCTGGGCTGGTGACAAGGTGGGGATGGGTCAAGGTTGGACTCCATGGTCTTGGAGGGTTTTTCCAACCTCAATGATTCCAGAATTTTGTGATTTTAAACAGCTGATTAAAGTGTGATTGCTTTGGAGGGGAGTCAGGGGGCACAGGATTGTGTGGGGATGGATCTGGGACATCTCCAGTGAGGGATCCCCACACCCTCCCTGGGCAAGCTCCAGTGTGTGAGGTTCTTCTTCCCCGTGTTCAGCTGGAACTCCCTGGGATCAGCCCCTGCCCATTCCCTGCAGACAGGGACAGACAGGGATCAGCTCCCCTCTCAGCTCTTCCTTCACTCCTTTACCTAAAACCTCGGAAATCCGGGAGAGATCCACATAAAATTCCTCCTGGTGCTCCTGCAGAGCCACTGTGAGATCTCCAAACTCCAAACCTCTTTCCCTGGCTGCAGGAAGAGCTGAGGGGCACAACAGACCCCTCCAGCTCGTGGCATTTTCATCCCATTCCTGCTGGAGCCAGCAGTGGCCTTACCAACAACAAAAAAAAAACCTCCCAGCACGGCCCAGTATTTTTTATTTCTGTGGAAATGCACTCACAACACATTTAAACACTTAACTGGAGGTTATTTGAAGAAAGACAGATGGACAAGCACTTAAATTTCCAAAGTCAGACCTCTAATTTCCCCAAAAGAGAATGGTTTGTGTTTCAGCTAACAGGTTTCAGTGTTGTTGGCCCCAAATTCCCCATAAGGATTCCATTTAACAGAGTGATCAAACACACTTCGAGTGGAAATGTATGGACAAAGTCAGGGACCTTGAAGTCTAATATTAAAAACAAAATAATTAATAAAAGCACAGCCTTCCCAATGTGGATTCCATGACTGTCTGATATCCTTCACAAACCTTTATTACTCCAGGAGCACTCACAGAATTACCTGTGAGATTCCCACAAGCAGGATTTGATAATATAAAAGAAAATAAAAACTACCTAAGGAGACTCCAAGAATCTTCTAGTCTGATCCACATTCAACACAGACCAAACTCTGTCTAAATATAAGGAAAGACTAAACTGCAGTGGGCTGAGCATTAGGAGATTCATTTCCTAGAGCAGCTTTTTTTTTCCAGGCAAATTCCCAGTTAAATTGTAAAGCCAGTGAAAAAACCCAACCCTATAAAACTGGACTCCCAGTGAGAAAGTCTGACTAGCCAGCCCCAGCTCTCCTGCTGAAGGAGAACAAGGCTCAGTTGCCCAGGGAATGCTTTGAAATCCTTGCATTAATGCTGAAAGAAATGCAATTTGCAGCCTGTGCAACACGAGGAAAAGGTTCTGCAGGAATTGGGGATGCAGGCAGGGAAAAGGAGATTCCCTGGGATTTCTAATTGAGAGTGTGGCTCTGAAAAAAACGGCTGTGGAAATATCAAAAGCTTTTAAAAGCCCAGTGAACTCCTCCTAGATCTTGGCCTAATTGATTTAGTTTAAATTAGTGTATTAGTGTAATTTAAATTAGTTTAAGAGCCAGTTCCCTCTAACAACTGCAGATTTTATGGGGCACAAAGCAGTGTCTGGACACAGAATGGGATTTACATGCACAGGGCAGTGCTGCTGGGGTTTCAAAGATTTCTGCTGTGTGCTGAAGGAAAAGAATTTACTTCATGAATCAGAGCTGGGCCCAATCAATTCCAGAAGGAAGAATCACTTCAATCCAGAATGCCTGAATCAGAAGCCTTAGGAACAGGATTCTTTCATGCCAGCAATTTACACGTGGTGCCTGCTCTAGAGGAACAAATGAAAGAGCTTTTCTGAAACCTCATTGCTTAATAAGTCCTGAAAATTTCAAAGTGATTTTTAAATCTGAATTCCTCCTGCTTCCTTACAACTATTTAATACCTTCTCAGAAAGAGATGGAGCAAATTTCAGAGGCAAGAGGGACACTGACCTTAGAGGAAGGGCTGTGCTGTGCCCTAATTAAACCCAGGGGGTTATTAGTGATTGCACAATGTCCCATTACTGTCTAACCAGTGCCTTTTTCCAGTTCCCTGTGTCCCTGGTGGTTGATGTCCACAGCCTGAGCAGGATGCAGAGGGGCTCCAAGAAACATCACAACTTCAGGGAGAAAGCATCTCTTGAAAGATCAACAAGAAATTTGGGATTTAATCCCTCCTCCTGCATCTGCCAGAGGGGCTGCAGCTGTGTGGGGACATCTCCTGGGGGGCAGAAGCTCTAAACTCCTCTTTTATCTGCTAATTCAGATTAAATGCAAGTAGCTGCTAATGGGGCACACAGAACTAATGCAAAATGCTTTCAGAAGGCACCAGGCTCTTCTGTAGAA